GGTAATAATGTCAATTGACTTTATTTCGCACCAGGGTGGGAAATAAAGTCAATTGACATTATTTCCATTGACCTTATTACCTGTCACCCACAACGATTTGTGTGTATGACCAATGCTTCTACTGTGTAGCGTTTTTGTGAACGCCGCAAAAATAAGCGACAACTGTTCTTGCATAGCGGATGATTTTAACGGTTAAGTCCCGTTATTTGAAAAGCACTTTTCTTTCCAAGTTCCAAGTTTTTTCTTCCAAATTTTCCACAGAAGCTACGCACTACGCACAATCTGTATACGCTTCTTTGCACCGTCAAAAGTTTATCTTACTTCGCACGTTTTATTTTTTGCGCACGCACTTGTTCACTACACTGTATTGTTTTTCTACCGGCCCTTGGTGGATAATATCCACTTCTGTCACCACTTCTTTAGGATGCCGAGTGTTTTATTTTCATTTACTTTATATTTTATTGAATTCTTTAAATGTAATACACACAGTACAATTTTGGTTTGGCAAACTTATGTTAATTGCGGTGGCAGGCAAACAATCGCGGCGACGGTCGACAATGAATTCAATTTTATGTTCTTTGGCTACAGTTAGGTCAGCCATCATTGGCGTGCGTTCGTTAAGTTTGGTCAGTAGGGTTGCCTTTATTTAAGGACTAACGTCAGTGTTACCGTTTCAACCCAACCGACCCAATCCCACATGTATACAGTTAACGGGGGTTCAGTGAAGTACGCGGATACGAAAATTTTTATCTACTGTGGTTTAGAAAACCGACTTGCATTTGTTAAGGGTTATTCATTTTGCGTTTTCGAAAATCTAAGTAAATTGATTTGACATTGCCACGATGAGAAATTAGGCATCTGGCAACAAAGCACCCGAGATTGATATACATATCTGCAACCCCGTAAATGGTCATCTCGTCTTAGTTGCTGTGTGAACTGCACTTTATACGGATGCGGAGGTGTAAGTCCGAATGCTAATATGTAGTAAAAGTCCTAATTCCTGCAAAGAAGTTCCCAGTTGCTGAAATTAGAGTCTTTGGCAGGATATACAAAACGGGAAAATTTTGCATTTCGACTTAACTGAAAAAATATATGTTTTTGTTATTTTATGGCTTTATAACAATTATTTATTTATTTATATTTTTATTTATTCTATATTTTATAAATAAATTTATAAAATATATTTTTGGGGCTGGGCTACTAGGTCATATTGTCTTTATAACAATTATATTCAACAATTTTTATTGAGGCCGTTTTTAATGAAAAACTATTGTGGAAAAGCAACAACAATTTGAAAAAATTGTAGAAATAGCTATCACTTCTACCATTTTTTCAAACTGTTGTTGCTTTTCCACAATAGTTTTTCTTTAAAAACGGCAAACTCAATGAAAATTGTTGAATATAAAAAAAAATATATAATATTCGGCGCTTACACATTTGCTAGTCTCCTCCCATTTTGTCACACAAGGGACCTATGCAGCAAACGGCAAATGGTTTTATTGAGAGGCTTTTGTCATTGCAGAAATACATTCATAGGTGGTCATTGCCAGCCGANCAGCAAACGGCAAATGGTTTTATTGAGAGGCTTTTGTCATTGCAGAAATAAATTCATAGGCCAGCCGAGGGGGGCCGCTATTAGGAAAAAACATTTTTGGTTTTTGGATTTTGCTCGGATCAGGGATAGAAACCCTGGACCACTCAATCACAGAAAAAACGTCCGAGTAAAAACTAACTGTATCGTTAAAGTATTGCACCATGTTTTCGTTGTAAGAGTAAACAAAATTTTCTAAAGAGTTTTTGTGGAAAATCATGGGATTACGTAGACCCGACCTTCGTTGGGAAAAGAAGTTATGCATTCTCTTAGTAAGTGCTGATTTTTAAATCAAGGAAGAGTTTTAGTTGTTAACCTGAATGTTTTTTTCGTGATGCGAAGGAATTCTTGCTATGATCGCTTTAAGGGCAGATACTAAGCGAAAGGTCGAAACTTTATGTCAGAGAAGGCATGTTTTTACAAAAGGGTTTAGATTAGCCAAACGTCAGTTCTGAGGTTAGGCAAACTAGAAAAGTTTGAGAAGTTTGCAATGAAAGGCTCGTGAATTGTCGGCGGGAAAGAAAAACTTAATGCTTTCGAAAAAAAAACACTCATTGGAAAGCAATAAGAGAAGGAAGCCAGATCTACATGTGGCCTAGCACTGTCACCCCAGCAGTTTCTCCGTAACAAGAATGGACGAATCCTGGTTTGACATTTTAGACAGAAACGCATTCTTACGACGATGAAATGATTGGAAAGTTAGCTACTGGAAGGGGGGAGGGGGGATTTCCAAATGATAAATTTAATNTTTGGATTTTGCTCGGATCAGGGATAGAAACCCTGGACCACTCAATCACAGAAAAAACGTCCGAGTAAAAACTAACTGTATCGTTAAAGTATTGCACCATGTTTTCGTTGTAAGAGTAAACAAAATTATCTAAAGAGTTTTTGTGGAAAATCATGGGATTACGTAGACCCGACCTTCGTTGGGAAAAGAAGTTATGCATTCTCTTAGTAAGTGCTGATTTTTAAATCAAGGAAGAGTTTTAGTTGTTAACTTGAATGTTTTTTTCGTGATGCGAAGGAATTCTTGCTATGATCGCTTTAAGGGCAGATACTAAGCGAAAGGTCGAAACTTTATGTCAGAGAAGGCATGTTTTTACAAAAGGGTTTAGATTAGCCAAACGTCAGTTCTGAGGTTAGGCAAACTAGAAAAGTTTGAGAAGTTTGCAATGAAAGGCTCGNAGCCCTTAAACCGAATAAGTCAGAGTGGCCCCACCGAAGCTCCCTCTCTTTCTGCCGTGACCCAAGGCTCCACTCGGATTGGTTACCGCATCTCGCACATGGGTTGCTCACGTTGCCCAGAGTGCGCGAACGAGGACGCAAGAGTCGGGATTGAGTATAGCCATGCAACTGTAACTGCATACCCAGCGCAATGACTATACCCCATTGCATTCCAATAATTAAATTTAATTATTCGCACATAATTAAGTCCCAAAAGAGTTCAATTCTACTTTTTCAATCGTATGAGTGGTAAATCTGGGTCGTTACCGTTGCGTAGACTCGACTGTCGCGATATTCACCAATTCGAATTTTCCGCCAGATTTGCATTTACAGAAACAAATTGTTTTGAGAGTTCTCTTACATTTTGATTTTGGTTTTCAGGTAAATTCTACGCAGCCTCAACATCATACACAACAACAACAACAGCAGCAGTCGCAACAGCAGACGCAAGCGTCACATCCACAAACTATTACTGTTGTCAGTAATTCAGCGAATCCAGCATTATTAACCGTGGCAGGCAATGATAATAATCTCGCTCGTCCCCAATATGGGTGTCGGTACGTATTTTTTCTTATCCTTGTTATTTAAACTTAATTTGAATTATGCAACTTATTTATATTTTCTGTTCTTCACAGTGAATGTGGAAGTGCCTTTAATAGTAGAGAAGCTTTAGCGCTTCACTTGCGATTGCACACCGGTGATAAGAGCCTTATGACTGATTTGTGCGCATTAACTGCGGCCTTGCCTGGTCACTTCCTCAACACAGGCCTTAACCCAGGTACTGCCGGAGTTGTGGCCACCAACCCCAACATTGTGGCACAAAATGCTGTGCCTGTGCAGATTATTTCATCAACAGGTCAAGTCATGACCCAAACAACACTTGTGCAGGCAGCCGCAGCAACACATCCACAGGGAGTTGTTACCAGTGTACCTGGAGTGATGCACCACCAACAGCCACAACAGCAGCTGACAAACACAGCGCCACAACAGCATCATCCACAACAGCAGCAGGTAACGCCGCCAAAGCCAAAGTCGCACTTTTGCGCTAGTTGCGGTAAAGGCTTTGCAGCCAAGCATGGCCTTATGCAACACAATCGGCGACATCCCAATGGTGGTTGTACTGTTCGCACACATGTATGTGAATGTGGCAAAGCATTCTTCCAGAAGAATCATCTGATGCTACATCAGCGACAGCATTTGGAGACGAAACCGCCATCTGCTGCCACGCAACAACAGCAGCAGCAACAACAACAACAACAGCAGCAGCAGCAACAACAACAACAACAACAACAACAACAGGTGCGTTGATTGCATTGCTAAAAATAAACAAAAATGCTACGCAGCGCTGCGTATCATGCAAAAATCCGCAAAACAGCAAAATAGCAAAGCAGCAAAATACGCAAGCCGGCTTTGCAACGCTTCCATTATAGTTTTTTACACGAGTTCGGTAACGTTACGCTGAGATACATAACCAACGCATAACAACAAGCCAGAATCCTCTTATCAAACAACCATGAAATAAAACAGCAAATGCAAATTACTAACATAATGGTAAGAATATTAAATATAAATATTTACGTAGATATACAAGAAATGTGCATATTATATACATACATACATACATATCGTCGTTTAAAGTACAAAAGCGCGTAACTGACATTTGCTGCCAACAATTGGATTTGCTCGCACAAGCTCTTGGCTCAATCCTTATCCATTCGTCCTGAAATATTTTATTTTATTTAATTAGCATATTTCGCAAAATATAATGTCAGCACCGGACGTCTAGGTCATTGAGTGCCATTGTTGATGTCGCTTTTAGTTAGGTCTGATTATTGAGGTGATGCATTTCTAATGCTTTTTCTATTTAANATGTGCATATTATATACATACATACATACATATCGTCGTTTAAAGTACAAAAGCGCGTAACTGACATTTGCTGCCAACAATTGGATTTGCTCGCACAAGCTCTTGGCTCAATCCTTATCCATTCGTCCTGAAATATTTTATTTTATTTAATTAGCATATTTCGCAAAATATAATGTCAGCACCGGACGTCTAGTACATTGAGTGCCATTGTTGATGTCGCTTTTAGTTAGGTTTGATTATTGAGGTGATGCATTTCTAATGCTTTTTCTATTTCTTCAATGTTGCTATTGTTACAATCCAGGATGTCTTTCATGCTTTTCTTAATGTTATTGTTGTTGTTGTTGTAGCGGCTACAACAACCCCGCCCAGATCGGTTAATATCTCAGTCGTTGTCGTCAAGTTCCACTAACGGCAGCCCTAAGAAGCATGCAGCCTCTGTGGGGTCCGTCCACAGGAACAAAGGCGTTAGGGTTGTTGGGTTTTCCGGGCATACGAAGAGATGCTCTCCGCATGCCGGCCACTCATTCGGCACATCCGCGTTTAGTCTGCTCAGGTATGAGTTTAACCTGCTGCAGTAGCCAGAGCGTAGTTGGGCTATTGTGGTTTTTGTCTCCCGAGGCAGTTGAAGCTCCGTCTCGTCTATGTCCGGTGGTTGTGCGCCTAGAACGGCATTCACAGGTCTGGAGTCTACATAACTCGAGACTGACTCCCTGTGAATGCCGTTCAGCGCCTGTCGATATGCTGACGGGTCCAGAGGTTGTTTAATGAGCCTCTGGACTTCGTCCGTCAGTTCGTAGAGATGCCCCATGACGTGCCTGGGCGAGGGCTCTTCTGCAACCAGCTGCCCATTCGGGTGACCACGTCTATGGCTCCCAACAAGGAACTGCTTGCAGGGCATTGTATTGTGCTCCTTGACCGGGAGCAATTTCAGTCGCTGTCCGTAGTGCGGTGTTTTGCGTCGTCTGCAGCTTCATCCACTGCGTCCTACTAATCCTCGGCGACCACACTGGTGCTGCGTAATTTAAAACCGGCCGCCTATTGCCTTGTATGTTGCCAGCAACGTTTCTTTATCTTTGTCCCAAGTACTGCCGGCTAGCGACTTGAGGACCTTGTTGCGACTCTTTACTTTGTTGACAATAGCGGTTGCGTGCGCAGAGAAGGAGAGCGGACCGTCGAAGGTTACTCCGAGTATTTTGGGGTTATTCACCTTCGGAATTGGTGTATCATCGACGTGAATTCCCAGCAGTAGCCTGACCTCCTTCCTCCAAGTGGTTAACAAGGTCGCAGAGGATTTCGTAGGGGAGAGGGTTGGGCTCCTTGCAGTGAAGAAGCGAGAAAGCTCGGAGAGATACCCGTTTACTTTAGAACACAGGTTATCAATTCCATTCCCAGTCGCCATTATCGAGCAATCATCGGCGTAGGAGACAATCAAGACTCTCTCTGTGGTTGAGGGAGCTTTGAAATGCAAAAGTTAAACAGTAGCGGGGAAAGGACACCACCCTGAGGAACCCCCTGTTTTATTTTTCTAAGTTTGCTCGATTTGTCTCTAAACATTACCGACCAGTGTCGACCATTCAGATAACTCGTCGACCACCGTTTGAGCCTCTGTGGGAAAGAGGAAGCCTCTATATCTTCTAGTAGCGTGGAGTGGCTGACGGTGTCAAACGCCTTTGATAGGTCCAACGCTACTAGAATAGTTCTCTCACAGGGGCGGTTGCGGTTTAGGCCACGTGTTATCTGAGTGTTTATGGCGTTAAGTGCTGTTGTTGTACTGTGCACTTTACGGAAATCATGCTGATGCTTCGCTGGGGTCAGGTGGTTTGTGAAATACGGGAGCAGCAAGGCCTCTAGTGTCTTCGCTACCGAGGAAAGGAGTGTTATCGGCCGATAAGAATCTCCTTTGTTGGCTGGTTTCCCCGGTTTGAGCAGTGGGACCACTCTCCCCACCTTCCAGATGTCTGGGATGATGAGAGTGGCCATATACATATTGAGGACCTCCGTAAGGTACGCTACTCCCGCAGGATCCAAATTTGTCAGCATCTGCATGCATATTCCGTCGCGACCCATGGCTTTGGAGGCTTTCGTCTTCCCGATGGCCACCTGAACTTCACCGCTAGTGAAAGCAAGGAGGGCACAAGTTGTTGGCAGTTTGTGCAGCCTTCTCTCACTCGTCGCTTGGCTTTGTCCACCGGAGGATGCAGTATGAACTGCCGGCTAAAATTGCTCGCGCATCGCTCCGGGTCCGACGAAGCATGGTCGCCGAAAGAAATTTCGACCCTGTCGTCGTGCTTCGTCGGATTGGACAGTGACCTCACGGTTGACCAAAGCTTACTCACACCAGAGATGAAGTTACAGTTCTTCAGATGCTCTTCCCAGTTCTTCCGCTTATGTACGTTCCTAGTTGCCGTGTCCGCGTTGAGATCCCTGATACGGGGATTTCCGGGATCGGCCTGACGGAGGATGTCACGCTCATCGGCTAGAACAGCCGCTTCAGCAGGGAAATTTGGACGTGGGTCCGTTATGCATCCTGCCGGTACGAAGCGAGCTGCAGCAGCAGTGGCAACTCTGCGGAACTTACGTTCACCAAGGTGGGCATCGGTTGGTGTGGGGAGCGCAGCGAAGGTGCTCTCAGTAAATTCCACGAAGCCTTTCCAATCAGCTTTAAAAAAGTTGATATAGGTCCGTTGTTCCGCGGAAGCATAGTCGGTTGGTTTATCGATCGAGATGACTATGGGCAGATGGTCTGATGCCAAAGTCAGCATAGGTCGCCATGATACGCTGTTTATCAGACCAGCGTTGACTAGTGTTACGTCTGGCGAGCTGCAGCAGCTGCCCTTAATCCTGGCGGGTGCGTCGTTGTTCATTGTGCAGAATGTCGAATCGTCTATCTGCTCAGCCAGGTCTATTCCCCTAGGATCGTTTGACAGGCTTAAGTGCCAAAGATCATGGTGCGCATTGAAGTCACATTCTACCATACGGTTTTCACCTCTGAGGAGCGCATCTATGTCAGGGTGATATCCTTCCGGGCAGCAAGTGACNTTCGGCATCATCTTCTTCATCACTAAACCATATTTCAACTGTGTCCATTTTTTTAATTTTATAATAAAAGCAATTATTTTAAAAATGATGTAAATAAAACACTCAAGAAACAAATGTAAACAAACAAACAGCTGTTTACAATTCTATCGACCATTCACAATAGTACAAATTTTTATCGATCAAGTTACACAATAGCAAAATAAAAGATGATCGACTCGATCGACAAATTTCTATTCTACTGCCAGTCGACACTCGCAATAGGGGCCTAAGCCACCACCATTATCTCTCTCGCGATATCGACGGTGCACGTTGTACCCGGCACAATTCAACAATGTTGAATTGCTGTGCAACTTCCTCTCTTGGACCGCAGCTATCAATATACCATGCCTTCCCATGAAGACGGTTATCTCCTCGATCTTAGACTGAAGTCCGTCACAGTTGAATTGAAGGAGCTTCATGTGATTCGGGAGACGTGTAGTTATGCGGGGTGTGAGGGATGTGTGTAGCCTTGCCGCCATTGGCTGTGTGCGCTGCTGTGGAGGTTGCCGTCCTGTTATGGTAGTGGGTGGCGTCGCAGTTGGGGTTTGCGACCGGGCAGCGCGACATGAGCCCTAGAAGTTCCTCGTCCAATCTCCAAGTCTCGTCCNTCTGCTTCAATAAGACGATACTGCACGGTATGGTGCGTGATGAAGGCTAAGCCACCACCATTATCTCGCTCGCGATATCGACGGTGCACGTTGTAACCGGTACAATTCAACAATGTTGAATTGCTGTGCAACTTCCTCTCTTGGACCGCAGCTATCAATATACCATGCCTTCCCATGAAGACGGTTATCTCCTCGATCTTAGACTGAAGTCCGTCACAGTTGAATTGAAGGAGCTTCATGTGATTCGGGAGACGTGTAGTTATGCGGGGTGTGAGGGATGTGTGTAGCCTTGCCGCCATTGGCTGTGTGCGCTGCTGTGGAGGTTGCCGTCCTGTTATGGTAGTGGGTCGCGTCGCAGTTGGGGTTTGCGACCGGGCAGCGTGACATGAGCCCTAGAAGTTCCTCGTCCAATCTCGCGTGGTACGCAGACATGAACATGTCCTAAAGTGGCACCAGCCAAGCCAGGCGTTGCACTTGACTGATGTCACATTACGGAATATCCTGGTCTGACATACCGTGCAGATTGTAGGAGGAACTAGGAGTTGTTGGGGGCGGCGTGTGGGTGGTGGTGCGGTTGTGTATGTTATGTGGTCTGTCGCGGTTGTGGTGTGGTCTATTGTGTTGTGTTGTGGTGCTGTGGTGTCTGTGTTGAGCTGCTCAGGTGGACTGGGGTTAGCCGTGTAGGCTGCTCTGTTTGAGCAGCAGGGGGCCACAAAAGATGTGGTCCACTGCCGATATGTCCGTAGTCCTGAGCAGACTCTGAGGTGGCTCCACCCCTCGCAAGCATTGCACTTGACTGACATACACAGCAGGTGTTGGTTTCTGGCCCTGGGTTTGACTCGATGCCAGCCCTGAGCAGAAGTATACGTAGTGAATGTAGCCCTATGGACGACCAACTTCTTAGATACTTCGCCTACCTGAACGTGGTTAGATCGCTGACACAACAGCCCTTGGTCGAG